CAGTTTTTTTAAACTTAAGAATCTCATATCACAGAGCATTCACAGTGCAGGAGGTCACAGTTATTGAAAAAATAAATAGCCAGATAAATATATTTATTATTTACAACTTTTCAGCTCATTGCTCCTGCTTCGCCCGTTAGAGAAAATGAACAAAGATGGCAGTGTTCAGCCCAGCCTGCCAGAACTGTCTTATGGAGACTCAAGTGATGTGTAACAGCCCCAGAAGTGTTTGGTTTGGGTGGTTTCTGAGGCGGTTCGTTCTAGGCATGAGAGCCCTCTGGTTCTACCTCCCTGATATTTGTTACGTCAAGGCTGGGCCCCAGGAAGATGCCATGGCCCCGGGGAAACAGTGCTCAGTCTGCCTCTCGGGCACCTGGGCTGCGCCAGGCCTCCCCTCACTCAGCCCTTTGCTTGGCAGCCCCCGTGTTGGCCCAGGGGCCTGGCCCCGCCTGGCTGGCAGCTCCCTTCCTCTCTAGGTCGTCAAGGCTCTCTTTGTATTCAAACACCAGTAACTGCTCAGGGCTGGCAGCTTCTGGGTGGAAGACACATACAGAAGACACCTACCAGGGAGCGTGTGCTCCGAACTTGAACCCTAGCCTCCTAGACCAGCAGCCCCCGGAGGAGGATCCCCAAGAACCAGCCACAGAGCTCAGCCACAGCTCTGTCTTCTGGACCCCAAATATCCTTGGTCCAAGCCACATGGAAGAAGCGCCAGGAAGAGTTCTACAGCTCAGACGGGTAACTCTGGAGTTGAGGGCAGGGATGCCCCAGTGGCCAGAAAAAACCCACCAGAACATCGGATTTGGAAAAACAGACCTGCCTGGCTCAGATCCCAGTCATTTTCAGTGGAAGGAAAGGCCTCACTTCTTCTATGGCAAGGAGACTATGAGTCTGTCTGGACACTTGGGAATTCCTGTCTTGGAAACTCTGGAGTGGGAGCAGGCTGAGCTCTGCTGTCTGGGGCTCTCCTTTACGCACAAAGGCTGATCATATCAAACCGTGTGGCTAGAAACCGAATGCTGCACATACTTTCTCTCCATAGCTAAAAAAAAACCAACTTGTTTTCCAGTGGTCGGGAGGGGAAGGTACATACTTTCTCCAGGATTAATGGCTTTGCTGGCATCCACCATGGAAAAGTCCCAACCAACGTGTTGTATAAAAAGCAACTGTTTGAATTCTGGCAACAGTGGGAGTAGGTTAGGTGTGGATTATGCTGTTATTTCTCATAGGGCTTTTAACTAAGGTGCAGTCCATCCCAGACCCATAAACGTACAGATGGGAAAACCACACAAGCAGGCGCTTGCCTTTCACAGAGGTACAGTGCCGGCATCTCTTACTGTCAGAGCTGCCTCCCATGGCCCCGGTTCTGTATCAGGGTGTTTGGGAAGCAGACATTTCCCAGACTGGAAGCGGGGATGTTCTCAGCTCCTGCTACAAAGGGTGTGGAGCATACATGGCCTCGGCGACTGGACGCTGACACCACAAGAGGCAACAGAAAGCCTTAGAAACATGCAGGTAAAAGATGATGCTAAGCCCGGCCTCTGGCCCCTAGCAGCTTGTGAGGATTTAGCAGAAATGAATGGAATCAGGGAGCCATTTGTCATTGAAAAGTTAGAATTTAAAAAAAAATCCCCATAAAATAATCAATGCTCTAATACCTGCCAGCTGGTTCCCTGTTGTGATGGGAAAAAATAGCTCCTCCTGGGGGGCAGGATGGGAGTGAAGCGCCCCTTCTTCCGACTCCACGCAGGCACTGGTTTCTTGGGGTTGGCAGCGCATGACTTTGGATACTGTCATGTTGGCTACTAGGCCTGCAGTTAAGCACATTCTAGTGTCCCAATTCAGTTTTCCCTATTGAGAAGCAAATGAAACAACCTAAATGCCACTTAAAAATCTGTACCCTTGCAGACTGTGCCCTTTGGGGACCAGATCTCTGTGGCAAGGCAAAGGGGTCTGGCACAAGTTAGATGACAAAGTCTGTGTCCCACCCGTGTCCTCTGCCTTGTGGGATGGGCCCGAGCAAAGACCCTCTTGTTCCACCACCCACATGCCTGGCACGGTAGGGGGATTTACTCAGTGCTGGAGGGGCCCCTCCTATGTGCTTTGAGAAGGCCCAGAGAGCATCTTTATGCTTCAGGGGCTCACGAAACCAGCTGCAGAGGGTAAGGGCTCACTGCTGGTCCGGCACCCAGATGCTCGAGAGGATAGAGGCTGGGGCAGCACATTGGGTCTGGGATGAATGGGGGATGACAGACTTCCTGCCACCCAAGAGTTGCCCAGAGAGCATTTTCAAAATTTCTGGAAGTTTCTATGAGCACGTCATGGCAACAAAGCTGCCAAGATGTGGCCCATCCTGGGTGCCCTGGACGCATCTGCTACCTGCCCCAAGGGGAGGAAGACTCACAGAAGTGACGTTCAGAGGGCATGTGAGGGACCCGGGAATATTTAAATCACGGCACTTGGGAACAATCTCCTGGAGGTTTTCACCCTAACAGGAAATCTCTTTGTTTATTCAAGCAGCAAGCATTTGCTGAGAGCCTGTCACATTCACTGCACAATCATCTTCTCCCACGTGGGAGGAGCACAGCCCACGAGGGAAGGAAAGGTGGGAGTGAGAGCGAAGAGGCCACCCACAGCCCTAGGGGTCCGCTCAGTGTCACGACTGACAGGAGGCCACCAGCTCACCGAGCAGCACAGCCCGAGCTGAAGGCTCTCTGCCGCTCTCTGCCCTGTTCCAGAGCTTGACCCTGCTAGCCCACTTCCCACCTGGGTAAGAAGGAAAGAAACAGATTCTCTCCCAGTGCATCTGGCCTCTCTCCACCCCAACCTCAAGGAGAGGGAGGGGCCCTAGGACTCAGGGAGGGGAAACACCGGGAGGAAAGAAGGATGTCAGCGCAAGGAGGCCACCCACACCCTCCCCAGGTTCCCCGCCTGTTTGCGGATCTGCTGTTCCCTGGTGGCTGGGCTTCTGCTGATGCTGTGAGGTGTGCAAATCCTCGTCAAAAGGAAAGAGAGGGCGGTTTCTTTCCTTGGGACCTGGACCATGGGCAGCCCAGGAGGGGTCTGCAGGACTGCCCTAGAGGGATGGGCACACTTATCTGGTTTAAGCCAGCTCTGGAGGCTTATGCCTTTTCAGCTGCTTGGGTCCGAAGAGGCAGGGAATTGACAGGGAGAAGCAAGAAAGAGGCCTCACAGGTGGGGCGGCGGGGGACGGAGCAGGTAATGAACAGGGGAAGATTCACGAGGTCTGGGCACCCGGAGATGAACACAGAGACCAGCAGCCCAGGGATACAGGACGGATGGGAGTGGGACAGCTCTGACCTGCCCTTAACCTTAGTCTCTCACTGCTGCTGATCCAGAAGCTTCCTCCAGGACCAGGTTCTTAAGACACTGCACGTCTTCCACCCTGACTACGCTGGGGCTGGCGAAGGCAAATTCCAAGCCAGAAATTAAGACAACTAGCTGCTCCTGCTTCTGTAGACATTTTCTATCTGAGTGCAATGGCTCACTTTTCTTTTCTGTCCCCCAATTCAAAGAGCTAAGTTAATTTTTTTAATCGCCTATTTTGGGAGCAGAGTAATTACCCCGTGCTCATTAGTTTGGGAATAGAGGAAGTAATCCTGCGCAGTGATGAAAGCATTATTTTTAAAATGAAGGCCTAATTCAACAAGCAATTCTTTAAAGTTGAGATGGAAAAATATTTAGTTAAAAAAGAATCTTTCACCTACAGTGTATATATATTTTCCTAAATACAATAAATGCATAGATCCTTTAAGGAAGTTACATTGGCACATTAAAGTCATATGAGAATTAGCCAGGAGGACTGCTCGACATACTAAAAAACGTTAATTTTTTTGGTCTCAAACTGCAACCGCAACATACTTTATAATCTCAGGTGGGTTCTTCTGAGGAAGAGGCAGGTCATTAGGATGTGTCCTCTGAAAGCTGCACAAGAGCACAAAGAACTGAACACCAGCAGGGACATCATCAGGGGCAAGTGGCCTGTGCCTTGTTGTACCTAAAAATATTTTTTGGTCTTCATCAGAAAAAAAAAACAGGGACATAGGATAGGGATAAATATCAGGATGTGAGCTGGAGCACCCAGATGTCAAATATTTGATGAAGTTTTGACTCAAACAATGAGGACTGACCCTAATGACCAGGACATGCCCTCACCCACCCCACCAAAGATGGCTGCACGCCAGACTGGCTGAGCCTGGAGGGGTGACGATCTGGGGCTGGGCCCCTGTTCTGTTACTTACTAGCCATTGACCTAGAGTCACCTGACCTCTCCAAGACTACATTTCCTGTTAAATGGGGAAAATAAGCCCTATTTACATCACAGATGCACTCTGAAGCCTGGATGAGTCTGTAAGATGGAGAAGACCAGGCTGCTATTCTATGAGGGCACAGAGCAGTCCCGAGGGTTCCGAAACCCTCTGCATCTAAAAGTTTATACAGATGAACCTACAGGCTCCCTGGCCTCCCACGTAGCTAATTTCTTAGGAAAATCGCTTTTTGTCCTCAACTTGAAGACCACTGAGTATCTGGGTAGAGAAACTAAGAAGAGAAGCCTTGACCTGGTGTGGCTACTAACACTGATGAGGATGCAAAATAGAAGCCTGGTGATGGAGTTGTCACGTCTTAGGCTCACGCGAAAGGAATTCATGGGACACGAGCTTGAACACATCCTCCTTCTGAAATTCAGGAGGCCCTAAAGAGCACAACCACAAATTCCACTATGGTCACAATCTTTGTGTCTCAGGAAAGATCTAGGATTGAATTTACACTCATCACCTGTGACCGATTATTGGTGAATTGCTGAAATACCGCCTTTCCTCACACCATCAAGGGGCGTTCCCATACAGTCTTCTGTGCAAAATATCCCAATACTAAAAGTGCATCAAATCTGATAGACTTTTCCAATAGAAACATTAAAAAAATAAAAAAACACCTCTATATAAAATTAATTGTGCTTTCTTTTTAGAAACCACAAATGGTTTGTGTTCATAAACCTTTTTAATATATATTTGAGAGCTAAGAAGCAGCTGAAAATTGTTTCATATTCTTCTATCTGTTTTTGAATCAGCCTCCCATCCCTGGCCTTTCATGTGTAGCAAACTATAAGGTTCAAGAAACTTAGGTCTAAAAAATTCCAAGTTATGGTTTTCAGATACCTCCAGCTAACCAGAGAGCAACTGATGTTTTTTCAGGAAATCTCTCTTCTTGTCATTAAACCATGGTTTCTGGCACACTCATTCCAGTTAAGCAGGCTATGAAATTGGTTGGGCATAGAAACAATTGGGTCTTTGAAGGGGGTGGCTTTGAGAGTAGAGCAGTAACAAAGAAATGACAAACCCAAACTGACGATGCGCCGCCTCCCACAGGAGGTCTGGAACGAACGGCTGGGAACTACGAGCTCCACCGTGTCTCTTGGTTAGCACCCATTAGTCTTTCACGCTTTTCTATATTCCAAACCAAACGTCTCAGTGTCAGTGCAACGTGATACACGTGGGATTCGTTTTTCAGAAGCATTACCTTTTTGGTCCCCGTCCAGGTCCTTTGTATGGAATGAGATTTTTCAAGTATGATGATCTATGAGTGACATTTTATTTTTACTGTTTCATTGTTCGTTCTCTGAATGCATCAATAAACGTGGTAAGAATATTCACTCATTTTCTCTCTTTGACTGTGATCAACCATGTCTATTCTTCCAATTTTTGCAGAAGAAGGGGTGGAGTGTTTGCCATTACAGCCCCAAACTCCCAACAGGTTGAGCCTTGCTTCCTCCAAACTGTGAGTGCTTCCAGGGGATTCAGAGGCTCTGAGTAGCACATGCTGCCCAAGGACCTCACACCCTCTGGCCCAGAGGGGCCCTCTGAGAACAGCGTACTTGTCTTGCACTTGCCCCAGGAGACCTCGTGTTCACCAACCGCCTCATTTCCGAGGCTGCCGTGCGACAGAAAGACAACCTGAGCACAGAAGTCCTTCTGACCCAAGCGTCCGGGAGAGGAGACACATGCCATGTCCCTATGGCTGGCAGCTCAGAGGTCTGCGAAGCTGCTCAAATAGCACCCCCCAAATCTTGCTTTTGGAGGGGCAGAACTCCGAGGAGGAGGATGACGCCTGGCAACCTGGCCCGTGGCCAGACAAAGACCACATTGGCTCTTCCTTCCTGTGGATGAAAGAACAGATGGTGGCAGGAGAGACTTGTGGTGGGGGAGGGAGGGGAAGGAAGACGCCAGAGTGTCCGGAACAGCTCCCGGCGGGGCAGTGGCTCCGCTTTAATCATCTTCTCGGCACATCGGCAAGTTGACAAAGGTGAAGACGTTAAACTCTATCATTATGGAGAAGCACAAGAAGATGGCGTAGAGAACCAGCACGTAGACCCCCAGCTTCCGGTCCAGCTTCCATTTGTTCAGATGGATGCCGAGGACCTGGAAGGAGAGAGAGCAAGGACTGGGCTTGGGGCAGGGAACTACAGAAGGCACTTTCACTAGAAAACTACACACAAACTAGGAACCCAGAACTTTCTCTGAAACGAGGACAAGAGCAGAGGGGTGCTGCTGAATATATCCTTGGTTTGATCAGAATAAGCCCTGCAGGATTTAGTCGTGTCTGACGAGAGGGTGCTGACCCCAGGCACACACAGCAGCTGCCGGCAGGGAGCCGGCCCTCCCTGGGCAGGCACACGCCTTCCCCGGAAAGCATGTGCCCTCCCGGGCCTCCTTTAGTAACAGTCAGGCACTTTCACTGGGCCCTCCCTTTGCTCCAGAGCTTGGCATCCTCAGCCATCTTCAGCGAAACTTCCACTGTTCTTGCCGGCCCACGGTCTGGGGAACTTCAGCCTGGACAACCTCTTTCTACTTGTGTACCTGTGTGTTTAGGAGACAGGGCTGGAGCTCATCTTCTGTCTATGTTCTTTCCAGACTTGCCCACGTGTCCTTTTACTACCTTCTTTCTTATCCCTGAATCGGGGCTTCCCAAGAGTTAGATCACAGTTGCCCCATCAGAGCAAGGCCATGGGTCCTTAGAGACAGACTGACACGGGTTCAAATCCCAGCTTCGTCATTTTCTGCCCCTGTGACCCTGGACAAGTTAGTTAACCCCTGAGCCTTGACTTCTGCAAAATGGAATGGTACCCTCAGGGGGTTGTAAGGATGGAATAAAGTCAGCAGAGGTAGAACGTTCAGCACAATTTTGGGCACGTGGGGCAAGGAGACCTCAGTATCCCCATGAGCCAGCGCTGAGGCCTGACCATCACGCTCCCATGTCAGCTCAGGTGGGCTGGGGGAGGAGATGGACTGGGCAGCAAGAAGAGAGGAAACGTAATTCACCTCCTCTGGGCACTTATCAGTTGCTCAGGGAAAAGCAACTGTAATGGTGGGTGCCGACATTCTTGGCACACATGGTGTCTGGGGTTTCTGTGAATTTATACTTTTTAATTTTCCAGCTTTATCCCTCACTGCCAAGGGGAAGTGAGAGGGGCTTCAGGGACACATAAGTGACCGTGCAGAATCAGAGGAAATGACACACATGGAGGCTTCTGTTTGGAATTGTAACAACTCACGGTGAGAGCAACGGAGCCCAGCAGCAACACCACGGAGTAGACCAGACCCCGGCTGTTGATCTTCACCTGGAAAGACAAACACACGTGCCCTGAACCTCTGGGCTGCTCAGAGCCCTATCCGTTCTGGGAGCCCAGCACGCTGGGCTGATCCCTTCCGTTATCAGGAAGCCACATGTGGGCACTTACGGGGAGGACGCAGCTATGGATTCAGGTCTCTGCTTGTCTGTGGAAATGGACTAGGAGGTGACAGGTGTGCCAGTTGCTGGGCAAACACAGGCTGCCTCCTGCAGGCACACCCAGGCTGCTCTGGGTGCTTTCATGCAAAGTGGGCACCAGGGTGCCCTGCAGCTCTCGGCTGGAACAGGGCCGACACCACCATCACGACCCATAAAACGCGTGTGCCTGGTATCATCTGGCTAATTACTAAGGAGGTGAGGGAAACTTACTGTGGATCCATAATTAATAAGCATCGTCTGCAGCCCCCACGGTATGCCAAGTCCCACTAGGATGTCAAACACGTTGCTTCCTATGGTGTTAGAGACCGCCATGTCACCTAGGCCTGCAGGGGACAATCGACATGTCATTAAGAGCAGGTGGCCGGAACCCCCTGCTCCTTCCCATAACTGTTCTGTTAGTGCTGCTTCTTAGAAGGACTCCCTTCTTCATGGAGCCCATATCTCTAAAAGCTCTTTACGATGTCTAAGACTCTCCCTCCCTTCATGAAGCCTACAGGGGCCGGCTAGGGGTTGAATTGTGACCCCGAAGATTCAGATGTTGGAGTCTTAACCCCCAATACCTCAGAACGTGATCTTATCCAGAGAGAAGGTCTTTACAGAGATGATCATTAAAATGAGGTCCTTAGGGTGGATCCTAATCCAGTGTGACTGGTATTCTCATTAGGAGGGGAAATTCAGGCACAGGCCTGCATACAGGGAGAAGCCCATTTAATCAGGAAGACAGCCGTCCACAAGCCAAGGAGAGAGGCCTGGAACGGACAGAAAGAACCAACTCTTCTGATACGTTGATCCCTGAGTTCTAACCTTACTGTGGGTCAGTAAGTTTCTGTTTTCATGTCTCCCAGTTTGTGGCACTTAGTTAGGGCCGCCCTAGGCAACTAACACAGAGCCCTTCCCTATTCCTCCTGCCAGCATGTCAGCCGGCGTTCTCCGAGGACCCACTATGTGCTTCTCCTTATTTGAACCTCGTCCTTACTGCACCATGACCTTGACCCAGATGATAGAGCATCAGATCTTATGCCCAGGTGGTCTCCCAAGAGTGAACTCTTCCCTCTCAATCAGACTAGAAGCATCTTACAGGCGAGGGGCCCTTCCTGTCTCACTGACCATTCTCATGCCAGCCGCAGTCTGAGGAACTGAATAACTTGAGAGGTAGTCAAAGTTGGAAAACAAATTTTTACAAATAAGACTCATACTGGCTGAAAGCTCTTCTAACCTGGCCCCTTAGCCCTAAATCGACACAACTGTCATGATCTGGCACACATACAACATCCGTGGAATGAACAAGCCTAAAACACACATGCCTGTAACCGTAAAATCGCCTTGGTCACTGGCAGGCTTGCAGAGACTCAGACCAGCATCCGGACGATTGCCTCACCTCTGCTTGACCACCTGCCCCCTGGTATCAGCCAGGCCACCTCCTCCCACCCTGTTTCTGTCATCCACTGACCTCCAGGACATGGTGCCTCCCTCAAGGGCCTCCCAGCTCCCTCCCTGCCTGCTCAGGCACTGATCTGAGCACCTTCAACATCCTGGCAGCTTAGTCCTGTTGGGTACCTCTGGGAAACCTGCCTTCCAGTCTCCCAGGATCTTGTGAAACAGGAATGTGCGACAACTGTTGTGGACCGGCCTCTCACCCCTGGTGAGAAGGCAGGCGCTAGCTGCACGGGCCAGGAGGCACTAAGACGCCTGAGTTTGGGAGAAGAGAGAGAGTCCTTCTCAGGTTCGGTGACCTCCTGCTCTGTGCTGGCGTGGCCCTCTGAGGAATCATGGCAGCACAACTTAAACTTTAAACGTGCAGGGCTCACTAGGGTCTTGCTAAAAACCACTTTGATTTAGGAGGGTTGGGGCAGAGCCTGAACGTCTCCATTTCTCTCAAGCCGATGCTGCCAGCCTGGACCACATTTTGGGCTGCGAGCCTTTAGGGAGCCCAGGATGCAGGACCTCTGTGTTACAGCACTCTGCCCAGCTCCTGCTTTGTGCCATGGACTCTGAACAGAGGGTTCTGGATCCTCCACCATAAAGAATTGGTCTCTGCTTTAACCCTGTCTCCTGGATCCTCTGTCAATCACGTCAGCGTCACCCTGTGACACACACACTCCCACCTGCCTCACTCTCTCTCAGTTTCTGTGTTCCCACATTCCACAGGAGCCGCTCGGACATGACGTCCTCTCTCAGAGCTCCACCTGCCCTTGTTCCTACAGAGCCCCTCTGACCTCCCGGTACCCCTCTCCATGCCCTTAACTTTCTAGTATCATGATCTCTCATCTACTATTCTGGACTCCAAGGCCAGCTGTTTAAATGGCACATTCTCTTGCCCCCTTTACCTTCCACTGTGTTCACCCAGGCAACCCCAGCTCTGGATGAATTTGTCATCTCTCATCTGTATGCAACTGGAGCTGGTATGACTCCAAACTCATGCTGGAATCCCAGCCAAATTCATGAACATCAGCTAGGCCCTCAGTCTTCAGGGGCTTTCTTTTACCGACTGCACCAGGGTGAATAGTGCCCACCCCCCCAACTCATGTCCACCCGATACCTGTGAACGTGACCTTATTTACAAATAGCATCTTTGTGGATGCAATCAAATTAAAGTGAGGTCATACTGAATCAGGGTCGGCCCTACTCCAGTGACTGGCATCTTTATAAGAAGCGGGAAATTTGAACCCAGACACAGGCAGAGGAAAGACCACCAGGTGAAGACGTAGCGAAGGCTGGAGGGATGCAGCCACAGGACAACAGGGTTCCTGGCAACCACCAGAAGCTGGAGGAAAACAAGGAAGGATTCTTCCCTAGAACCTTCAGAGGGAGTGTGGTGTTGCTGACACTTTGATTTTGAACTTGCAGTCCCTGGAACTGTAAGATAACCCATTTCTCCTGTTTTAAGTCACCTGGTTGGGGAACTTTTGTTATGACAGCCCTAGGAAATGAAAACACTCACCTCACACGTTACTTGATTAAATCCCACTCCCCGGAGCTGCTGTCCCCCACTGTCCCCGCTCTCCACAAGGCTCCAGCCTGCTGGCAGACGTACTCCCACCCCACCCTCCCCTCAATTCACATTTCCTCGGGACTGACCTACCAACGAATCCACCCTTCCCTTGATCTTGGAGAGATAAACCGTTTTCCTTCTTTCCAAACCATCTTTCTCTCTGGACACGTCGCTCCTCTCCAGCTTTCTCTGAGGTTTCACTCCATCATTTGCCCGCCCTGCCCCCATACTTTCAAACTTCCATCTGCCCAAGTCTGGGCTTGGATACTATCTCACCAGCAGAAAAGGAGCAGTAAAAGAAGACTGGCTCTTTACAGAGGGGAGGGAAATAGCTCAGTGGCACAGCACGTGCTTAGCATGTACATGGTCCTGGGTTCAACCCCCAGTACCTCCATTAAAAAAAAAAGACATTAAGATAAAAGACTGTCTCTTTATAGCTCTTTTGTTCTGCCATCAAAGAGCATACAGTAGGCACTCTTCATCTTGCTTACCCCACGTCATTTAGTAATCCCACCAAACCAAAACATTATACAAGTTCTAGAACTTTGAGGAAGAATTGGGAAATAGTTGGAGATATAAGATGTCCCCACTTTGCCTTCCTGGGACCAGAACATTTCCCACTACTATTGCATTTACTATAAAAAGTCTGGGCTCCAGTTCTGTTTGATCTCACATTGGTGATGTCAGAACAAGCTCATCTTTATACAACTCCACGCAAGCCAGTGTTCCTAGATGCCTGGAGTTGACCTTGGTAGCATTCTCTCCATAGATGGAATCTAACACCTGGTGCTTCCCAGTCGTCACAGTTTCCCCCATAGCAGGACTTAAGGACTCCCAGTCATGAGAGCCAGGAACTGTAACTGGGTGGTGGGGAGGGGCCTGCACAGTGATGCTGAGGGCTGCGGGGGCCGAGGTGCCATCCGTACCTTGTCTCGCCACGATCAAGCTGGCCATGCAGTCTGGAACGCTCGTGCCTGCTGCAAGGAAAGTAATGCCCATGATGACATCAGGGATCCCCAGGGTGTATCCAATAATAGTCACCTGCAGAAGAGGGGGAGACATGAACTCACAGAGCAGCACTCCGGGAAGCTGGGCTTACAACTGAGTATCTTCAACTTAAACGTAGCACTGCTATGACCAAAAGAAACATCTGGAATGCAGTTTTATTTTAAAAAACATCTTTTGAATGTTCTTTTTTCCCAGATTACATGAATCATATGTGTTTACTGTTTTTTAAAAGTTTAAAAAATAAAGGAAAATGATAGTAAAAATCACCTACCATTTCTCAAGACCCTCAGACAACCACAATGAACACTTTCCATCAGACAGTGATTCTCAAATTTGAACATGTAGGAAATCCTCTGGTGGGCTGGTTAAAATAGGACTGCCAGGCCCACCCCCCAGAGCTGCTGACTTAGGAGGCCTGGGGTGAAGCCCAAGAATCTGCATTCTGAACAAGTTCCCAGGTGGTTGGGACCCTACGGCTGCTGGTCTGCGAACCACATTTGAAAACCTTGCTTTAGAATATATCCTTGACCTTCTTCCTGGTGTGTGTATTAGAAAAAAATAAAATCAGATTCTGGTATTTTGCAACTATTTATTTCATGTAATAATACAGTGTGAATATCCTTCCACCTCAAATATTCATCTGCAACATTATTTTAAACTGATGCACGGATTCCACTGTACGGCTGTAAAGTTTCTGCCAATCTGTCACTGGTGGATACTGAGGTGGTTTCTTTTTTTTGCTTTTACAATACAATTACATACGAGTAACATTTATTGAGCACTTCCTGTGTACCGGGTACCCTGCAAGTGTTTTACTTTCATAATCTCATGCATTCTGTTATTCACCACTCACCAGTGAGGGAGGCACTATTATTATGCCCAGGGAAGCCAGGGTCAGAGAGCTTCAGTTACAATCGTGGTGGGCAAGAAGCTGGTGAGACTCCAGGCCAAGTCTTTCCGACTCTAAAGGCATGCCCCAGCCTCGCAGTCACGTGTACGAACATCTTTGGGATCTCATCTTACTACCTCCTTAGGGTAAGTTCCAAGAAATAGAATTGTTGGGTGAAGGATACACAGGCTTTTAAGGATCTTGACGCACGATCACATACTCCTCTAAGAAATGCCTGAGAGTTGGGAGATGGCCAGGGCCCTGAGCGACAGCCAGATGGAAATCCCCAGAAGCATTTGAACAAACCCATTTAAAACACCCGTTAGCTCTGGCTCGCCTCCCCATTGAGAAACTGGGAACGGTGGCACCTCTTAGGGTTGTTCACATGTTGGCTGATGGCTGTAATCCCAGCCAATGGTTGGGTGGCTCAGGACAAGCTGATTTGCTTCTCTGAGCTTCAGTTCCCTCATCTGTAAAATGAGCTTTTAAATGAGGATTAACTGAGAAAATGTGAGGTGACAGTGCCCAGCATATGCAAGACGTTCACAGATGTATGTTTCTCTTCTCTTTCAAGCACTCGTCTTCCAATCAACGAGGGCAGAGAAAATGAGGGTGATTAGACTCATGGGGCTTAGCCCCAGATGAAGTGCGCTTTCTAAGGGCAAAGCTTAGCCCTGGAATGTAGCCTGCGCTCGTGGACTAAAACGATATCCCTTCCAGGACAGAGCTTTGCAGAGGGGTTTGAAGATGATCCATCCCAAACGACAGTGCTCAGCTCAGCGTCACCAGGCGTGGGGAAGAGTGCACGCTGACAGGTCTGCTCTGAGCTGTGCGAGAAGAGAGACACTGAGGATGTCAAAAGCGCACAGCTGACTGGTCAGTGCTTAACCCATGTTGTCTGTGAAGGAGGTTCCACAAGCACAGCTCAGCTATGGCTGACATGTGTTTAATGAGTGATACCCGCTGTCATAAGTACAGGAACCTGGGTTATCTTGACTCTATTGGGAATGCCTCCATTAAAAAAAAATCATTGAACTACATGGCTAAGAAGCTGGAGGATGGAAGGACAGAAGGGAGGCACACACTCTTTAAGCATTCAGGACCAGCGATGCTACCTGAGTGTTGCCTTGGACTCCAGCCCGGGGCCCTCTGAGCCCTCCTGATGCCTAGGCTTCAGAGACAGAAGCAGAGCTGAGTCCAGAGCTAGGGGGCTGGCCATGTACACGACCTTGGGGAAGCCAGGCCTCCTTTTTGGCCCTCAGTCTCCCCAGGTGTGAAAAGGTGCTGGGCAGGATGACCCCTTTAGAGGTCCCTGACATTCAAGAATCAAAGCCTTTTTTCCCCAAAGCCTTGAGGGTGAGAGATGTGCAGTGCTGTGGGGTTCAGGTGTGGGCAGGTGAGACCTCACTGCTCCCTGGCGCCCCCAGCAGGGCATTAGGAAGGTGAGCATGTGATGCGCGGGCAGGCACATCTTCAGCAGAAATCAGGCTAATGTGGCACTTTTGTCTTTACCACTTTCTACTGTGGATGCCATTTAATCATCCCAAACTGTGGCCAAAACCACAGGTAAGAGGGCCCCAGCAATGTGGTTCCTGGGACCCTGGCCAACCCAGTGCCACGACTCTGCTTTAAGAAGCTGGGGTGGGGAATGTAAGTCAAGATGGTGGGGTGGGAGTATTATTAAACATTCCACCTCACTGCTAATTAGTAGAACTGACTTCATAATACTGTTGTTTTCAGCAATTGAGAAGAAAAAATTTCACACGTTCATTAATTTGATCTTCTCTATTCTCACACCCACTCAAATGCCATGAAACACTCTTTCCACTTGCGATGTTGTTTTGTGAATGCACGTTAGGAAGAGAAATCGTTGGATCCTTTTATCAAATGTGAAGATGGGCCGGCCTTTAACCCTACTCAGAAAACCTTAAAATTTGCAAATTCAGTTCATTTTGAGGCACAGTTTTCATTATTTCTGGTTGCCATCCTTTTCTGGGGTGGTTTGGGTAGTAGCTGTTCCCAACTCCTCCCCGACCCCAACACACACACATCAGCATCTATGGGGACCGAAATGTCTATCTGAACAAACGTGGAAGCAGTGTTGGCTGCATCTCATGGTGAAAATGGCTGATACTTGCAGCGATGATCAATTTGCCACACTGTAAGCTCAGACCTAATGCCCGGACAGAGACTTTTTTGTTCTCCCAGTAACCTGTCAGATGGTGACGAACATGTCCATTTCGTGGAGGGGGAGACTGTGGCTCATGGAAGCTGGGTCTCCTGCCCAGGTGTCACGGCTCACAAGGGGAGAACTGGGATTCATATCCATTTCCATGTGACCCCATAGCTCTTCTTTCCCCATTAAACTGCTCCTTTGGGGTTAAGGGAAAGGTGCCCCTTGTGCCTCTGAAACCAAGTCGCCCTCGCCCTGTGTGTTAGGTGTCAGGAGGTACTGGGTGTAGGGAGAGAATGAAATGACTACATGGATGTCACGAAGGTGCACGTGGCTGACAGAAGAAATGCAGCTGTCCTGTAAGCCCTTCTCGCCTTGTTCCTGGCTTCCCCATGGTGTAGGGGAAGGGGAGGGACCCCAGGATGGTGCACAGAGTGAGGGCAAGGGGGCTCCTGCTTGGCCCCGCCCAGGCAATGAAAGGTTTGGACAGGGAGCAGTCACCTGTGGCCAGAGGAGCTATGCCACAGCCTCTCTGCCTGACAAACTTTAGTCCAAATGGCACCTGAAAATTCCAGTAACAAACCGAGAGGCCTTTCAGGAGAGTGGTTGATGAACTCTGAAGACCAATACCTGGGTTCTAACCCCAACTCTAGAACTCACAAATTGTGTAACTAATTGTGCAATAGCTGCTAATTGTATAACTAATCGGGCAAATGACTCAATCTCTATGCCTCAGTTTCCCCATCTGTAAAATGGACATAATAAAAATGCTTATCCCATTGGGCTGTTATGAGGACTAGAAGAGTTTACATAAAGTTTATATATACGCCTGGATGTAGAGGGTAGAGGAGCAGCTCTTGGCAGGGAGCATGGTTAGGGCTGCCTTGGGTTTGTCTCCCAGGACTCCAGTCTCTATTCCATTCCCCCGAGGATGCTAGAGAGGCAGAGGGCCTAGTGATTAGCCCTCCAGAGCTCTTTACAGAGAGTCCGTGCAACCCCTGCCATATTCCTGTTCCCATCACACCAGGGAGGCATGTCTCAGGCTGCCCATGTAAAGGCTCATCTCCCTGCCCACACCTGCCTTGAAGGCAAGCACCAGGCTGTGTCCATCTGGGTATCCTTGGTGCACAGCACAGCACCGCACCACACGCCTCTGCTGAAGTTCCTTTCTACTGAGAAATAAGCCAAGGCCTGTTAAGGTAGGTGACTTGCTGAAGGTGGCACAGCAGTGCCTCTGGCAGGTGGGAGAGGCCAGTCCACCCTGCTGCCATCACTCACCAGCCACACCATTAGGTAGGAGAAGACAGCGATCCACAATGTGGCCATGACGAAGGTGAGCATGAAGAACTTCTCCCAGCGGGGCTTGCTGCAGTTGGGGATGGTGATGCATAGGAGGAAGATGAGCGGCCAGGTGAACACCCACTTGGCCTTGTCCCCTCTTGCCTCTGCAGTGGGGTCGGGCGGAGCCAGAAGGGAGAGGGAGAGAAACACACATGGGGTTATTGTTTCAAGCCAAACAAGAGAATGTTACCAATGTGACTCAGAGCAGCTGACTTCACAGAATCACACATCTTCATGATGCCATCTCAGCAAAACTCAGGCGTTTGTTGACCAAATAACTTCAGTCAGTGCAAATCCTTCATTTAGCAGCATAAAGAAAGTGGGACCCAGAATGGGAACGAACTTGCCCAGGGCAGCTGGGGCGGCTGTGGAATATCGATGGGCTTTGGAATTAAGATAAACCTGGGCTGGAATTCAAATGACCCTGAGCAATCCTGTCCACTCCACTTCTTCCTCTGACAGTAACAGCTTGTATAACAACATATACAGTAACAACAACAAAACAATCTAGATAGGGGATATTTTCTATGTGTAGCAGGCACACTGCTTAGCATTTTGCATCTTAGTAGTTTTTTTACCTGTTAAATGGGCATATTATCTCTTTCTTGGTTGTTGCAAAAATGAAATGATACAATGTACATAAAACACCCAGCGCACAGAGCCTGGCACAGTAGGAGCCTGGAAACCTCAGTTCCTTTGCTCCAAGGACATATCCTCAGCCTGTGGCAGGTGCAAGACTAAAATGGGGTGTCCTGCTGGCAGGTATGACCTCACTGGCCCCTACCAAGGGAATCCACAAACAATTCAACTGAGGAAAAGTGGCCTCAAAAGCCACTGAATGCAAGTACGGTGTCCTTAATAAGCCACTGGGTATTTTGAGTACACATAAGCTCCACACAGGCTTGTTGGTGATGCCGATGAAATGGTGGAGGAAGGACTTCTAAAAATTCTCTCCTCCATAAAAGCAAAGAGAACACTAGCAAAAATGGTCAGAATCAACTTTTTTCAGAAATCTGGAAATTAACCAAAGACTTGTAGCAATCCAGGGAGTGTTTATTTAAGAAAACTGGCTGGGTATCAGTAAGAATGAGCTTTCCAGAGTTTTAATTTGCCCTATTTTCACTCTCTTTCACCAGCTTTGGAATAGCCTTGAAAATCAAGTAGTCTGGCATCCACTGGAGGGTGCAGGACAGCATTGGAGCTCCTTCCAAGCCCATTTCCAGAGAAATGACATTATCTGGCCTGTCTGCTGGTTTCCTGGAAGACACCACTTTCAAGGCTATCTTTGTTTTACCTGAATCAGAGCTCACCCAGCGTGAATAGCCTTTTCCTTGAGGGCATTTGTTGAAAACAGTAAGAGGCAATTGTTGAAAACTGTGCTGTTCAAGGTGATGGATAACAATTGGACAAATAAGAGGTTAATGAAAAAACTTAGAAGGAAAAGATGGGAATGAGATGTCCATAGAGGGCTTGGAAAAGCTCCTACATATTTCTGGGAATCTCAAAGTCCATGCACAGGGCTGTGCCCAGGGTTATTTGCATGCTCAGGAAAGACTTGATAACACCCTAAACTTTCACTTCTGCTAACTCTGATGCAGTGAGAAAGCAAGAAGTAAAGGCTAGGGTGGAGCTGTAAACTGCCTGCTGGGGTGTTAAAGGCGTGCCCCCAAACACACACAGAACCCATCAGCAAAGACTGGGAGACTTGTTTGATCCAAGCGTCTAAGATAATCTCTGTCCAATCATTAGATGACCTTAGGGTAACCTAGCAGATATTTCAGTGGCCACACAATAAAGAACATAGATTTTTAAAAATTAGTTACAAAAGTCACCAAACAAATAAACAACAACAATAAAGCAAGAACAAACAGCCCTGGGAAGAGGAAAGAATCTGATTTCTTCTTATTATTATTTCATGTTATATTATTTTAAATGCCCAGTTTTAACAATAAAAAAATTACAAGGCATGAAAGAAACAAGAAAACATGGCTCAAACACAGGAAAAAAAGCAGATAACAGAAACTACCTCTGAGGAATTCCAGACACTGGAATTACTAGACAAAGACTATTTGTAAATCAGTTATTTTAAAATATACCCAAAGAAGTTTTTTAAACTGTCTCAAAAACTAATGGGAAGTGTGAGAATGATTTCTCATCAGAGAATATCAATAAATATCAATAAAGAAGCAAAAATTATAAAAAGAGCTGACAAAAAAAAAAGAAATTCTGGAGTTGAGAAATGCAATAACTAAAATGAAAATTTCAGTAGAGGGGCTCAATAGCAAATCTGAGAAGGAATAAGAAAGAAATCAATGATCTTGAAGATAGATAAACTGAGTCTATCTAGTCTTAGAAACAGAAAGAGAAAAGAATAAAGAAAAATGAACTGTGCCTGAGAGACCTGTGGCACACCATCCAACATGCCAAAATAATGTACCAGAAAGAAAGGAGAGGAGAAAAAGGGGACAGGAAGAATACTTGAAGAACTCATGCTCAAAAACTTCCCAAATCTGATGAAAAATATTTAAATGTGTATTCAAGAAGAAAACATCTTCTCAAGTTCACATGGAGCATTCTCCAGAATAGATCAAATGTTAGGTCATGAAACAAACATCAATACATTTAAAAGGATTTAAACATGTAAAGTATATTCTACAACCATTCCACAAGGGAAAGAAAGTAGAATCAATAACAGAAGGAAACGTGGAAGACTGGCAAATACGTGGATATTAGACAACACACTCCTAAGCGACCAGTGAGTCAAAGAAGAAATCACAAGGGAAGTTAGACAATACTTTGAGATGAATGAAAATGAAAACATAACACACTCAAACTTATAGAATGCAGGGAAGCAGTACTGAGAGAGAAATTAATAGCTGTAAATGTCTACATTAAAAAGGAGACAAGATCTTAATCAATGACCTATCTTTCCACTTTAAGAAACAAAAAGAGAAAAGCCAATTAAGTTCCAAAAAAAGCAGAAGTAAGGAAATAATCAAGAGAGAAGTAGAAATAAGTGAAACAGAAAAAAGGAATCAATTAAACCAAAAGCTGGTTCTTTAAAAGATCAACAAAATTGACAAACCTTTAGTTAGACTGATCAAGGGGGAAAAAAAGAGAGAAAACTCTAACTACTGAAATCAGGAATGAAAGAGGGGCACCATGAGGGACCTTACAGAAGTAAAACAAATTATTAAGGAATACTATGAACAACCGTGTGACAACAAATCAGATGGCCCAGGTGAAACAGGTAAAATCCTACAAAGATGGAAACTACCAAATATGACTCAAAAAGAAATAGAAAATCTGAAGAGACTTACAATAAGTGATTGAAATAATAATCAGAAAACTTCCTTTAAAGTAAAGCCAGGACCAGATGGTTTCATGGGTATTTCTACCAAATGTTTAAAGAAGAATTGGCATGAGTCCTTTACAAACTCTTCCAAAAGATAAAAGAGGAATGAACACTTCCCAATTTGCTCTGTGAAGCCAGTGTTACCCTGATACAAAGCCAGACATCAAGAATAAACAAACCTACAGACCAGTATCCCTTATGAATATAGATCCAAGAATCCTTAACAAAATTCTGGCAAACTGAATCCAGCAACATAGAAAAAAGGATTATACACCATGATCAAGTGAGATTTATCCCAGGAATGTAAGGTTGGTTCGACATATGAAATTCAATCAATGCAATACACCACATGAATAGAATAGAGGACAAAACACAATCATCTCAATTGAGGCAAGAAAGGCATTTGACAAAATCCAACACCTTTTAAGATAAAATCATTATCTTAAAAATCATTAACAAACTAGGAATAGAAAAGAATTTCCTTAACCCAATGAAGGGCATCTATAAAAAACCCACAGCTAATGTCATACTTAATGGGGAAAGGCTGAAAACTTTCAACAAGATGAGGATGTCTGCTGAATTCAACAATGAACATCAGAAACATGAAATTAAGAAAACAATTTCCATTTACAATAGGATCAAAAGAAAAAACACTTAGGAATAAATATAACAGAAGTACAAAATGAGTGTGCTGAAAACTACCAAGCATCATTGAAAGAAATTAAAGACAACCTAAATAAGTGGAAAGACATCCTGTACGTGGATTGTAAGGCTTAATATTATTAAGATGGAAATACTCCCCATACTGATCTACAGATTCAATGCAATTCCTATTGAAATCCTAGCTGACTTTTTTTTTGTAGAAATTGATGAGCTAATTCTAATATCCATATGGAAGTGCAAGGGGCCCAGAACAGCCAAACCAACCTTGAAAAAATAATGAAGCTGGAGGACTTACATGCCCCAATTTTAAAACTTAGTACAAAGCTACAGTAATCAAGAGAGTATCCTACTGGGATAAGGATATGCACATCAATGGAACAAAATTTAGAGTCCAGAAATAAACCATACAAGTAAGGTAAACTGATATTTAACAAGAGTGCTGAAACAAATCAATAGGTAAATAATAATCTTTTTTAGCAAACGGTGCTAGGACAATTACATACACACAGGCAAAAGAATAAAATTGGACCCCTACCTCATACCATATACAAAACTGAACTCAAAATGGATTGAAGATCTAAAAATAAGAGCTAAAATTAAAAAACTTTTACAAGAAAACATGGGCATAACTCTTCATCACCTTGGATTAGGCAATGGTTTCTCAGATGACACTCAAAACACAGATAATAAAAGAAAAAAAACAAATTGGACTTCAAAATTTACAAGTTTTGTGCCCCACAGGACACTATTAAGGAAGTTAGAGACAACCCACAGAAGAAAATACTTGCAAATCATAGAAAGGTCTAGTATTCAGAATATATAAATAGTAACTCAACAATAAAAAAATCTCAATTTTAAAAATGGGCAAAGGTGAATAGACAGTTCTCCAAAGAAGACATACAAATGGCCAATGAGCATGTGGAAAGATGCTCAGCACCTTCAGGATTGTATTAGGAAAATGCAAATCAAAACTACTTCACACCCACAAGTATAACTATAATACAAAGATAAATAATAACAAGTACTGGTGTTGATGTGGGAGAACAGGCACCCTCGTACACTGCTGGTGGAGATGGACAACGGTAC